AAAAAATCCCAAAAAGATTGCACTCTAATTAATTATTCCCTAGAGTAAAATCACTGAATTAAATAACACGATTTAGAACATTACGAAAATACTTGGAAAAGTACGCCATGGCGGCAAAACTAAGGAATTGCAACAACCGACGAATTCCTCAAGAAATATCTTCAAACTTTTTTTCGACACACCACTCTCAGGTCTTGATATTCGGCTTTAAACTGAATGTAACTCCTCGCCATACGAGGCTCTTTCGTTGTCCAGCAGACTTTCAAACCGTTTGCATCTGCGTATTTCATTTCTCGAAACTGGCAGACGTCTCGTCGACAACACGAAACAGGATTACGATTCAGTTTTCAATTTCTCGTACGTTCCATTGCTCGCCATATTTCCATGACACCGTACCCACGTAAGAAACAAACTATATTGTACACGTCAAAGAACACATTTCAATCCTTCGCGGCACAAAAGTTATCCACTCCTCCTATACGTGTAACGAACTAAACTGGAATAGAAAAAACGTACACCCCTTTACTCAATTATTTTCGTGCGATTAATCTTTTCACGCCAGTTTCCCTCTCTGCTCTAAATTTTTCACGGGTCGCTCTGTCATTATTACGTTCTACATGGTGCGAAAGAAAAAAGAAAGATTACCATTGTTCCAGCTCACTGGACTAATCCACGGGGGCCATACTTTTTTCAAAAAAAAAGCTAGAATCCAACACTCGAAACGTTGAAAGATTGCCGCGACACGTGACTTCGCCAGGCGGCGTGTGTCGCCGAATCTCGCGTGTTCATTAACGAAATTTCTAACGATCTTCGTTTAATTACCTTGGCCCTCACGTGTCGACATCGAGAGGAGGGCGACGGAGGAGGGGTAGTTGGGGGCTTTAACGATTCTCCACCCTTCCTTTTAGCGGATTAAGGCTGATAAACCGTAACTGATGCACCTAGATCGATTCATGATTGGTGACCGAACCCCGTTATTAATTGATGCAAGACTCGCACCTTGAAATATGTTCATTACGAATATCGCTGGAGCACACTTTTCCTGCCAACGACATGACGAAACGAAAACATTCAGCCCCGCACGAATATCCTTCTTTGTTTTTTTCTCACGCCAAACCGATGCACGCTGTTTTCACCCCCGAATTATGCACTCGATCGCACCCTTCCATCACGGGGAGGTGGAGGGTGGATACTTTAGAAACACTGGATCGCAATTACCATAATTAATTACTACGTCATCTCGCGATTCTACCGATTCAATTATCCTGGTATGTAACGTGCGAGGTATTTATACGAATGGAGACCGAGATTATAATTTAAACAAGATATCGGCTCTTCCCAGTAGCTTACTTTCTTCTTTTCTTTTTTGAAAAAGAAAACCTCGATTTAATGAGCGAATTAAACACAGGAATATCAAGCAGTTTGCCGTTAGTCCCGCACTTTTTATAAGTCACCCTCGCTTGACCGTTCTTGCGTTACAAACGACCGAATAGTTAACTCGAAGGCAAAAAGCTTATGACGGGAAGTGTTTCTCGAAGTAATTATTAAGGTATTCTCGCACTTTGCGCACAACCGTCACCACTCGCCCGTTTCAACGTCATACTTTTCACCCGAACTTCCTCTGGGGAAACGTTCCCCCTTACATCCTATGGACAAAGTAGCTTTTAACAACGCCTGAATGCGTTCTCGATTATGTTGCGTTAACGTCAATACGATCGCGATTCGTTTCACACTTCGGGGAAACTTAAGCCCAGGGAACTTCGAGACATTAATTGCTCGTTACAGAATTTCTCGGGCGCTCGTTTAATTCCGTTAAATCAAACGAAACTTTAAAAAAGAAAACAATGCAACAAAACTTTACTAAACAGCATTTAACTGAAAGCAATTAAAAATGATTCAAGCGGCGAGTGTACACGTGTTCACCCAACATCGAATTTTCGATTGATCATGGATGCATAATTGAATTATTGTTTCAGTTCATATTCGACGATGTTTTCGAGGATCACAAAATATCACTGAAACTGATCTGTGATTTTTACGGTTAATCAGCGTAATTGATCGCTCCGATAAATTAGTCTTTTTATTTCAATTCGATTTCGTTTATCACCATCGAAGACACGCAACAGATGTTTTCACGTGTTCCCATCACTCAGCGATAAATTGCAGGCTACCCTCGCCGTAACATGTATGTTTCGGACAAAGCGTCTCGAGGACCGCGATGTAGGTGCGCAACCGGCGGTGGATGCGGCGCGACTGTGAGGATCGCAGAAACAGAGTCGAAGAAGTATCCACGCCGCGAGTTTACCCGAAATTGGGATACGGGATTATTCTCGGTTGGAGGGTGCAAGTGGCATCTACCACCCTTCCCGGAGCCCGACGAGCGTATCGATCCGTTCCTCTCGGTCGCTAAAATGGAGACGCGACTGTACCGTCGACTAGTAAAACAATGACCTGACTGTTTACATTTGAATATAATAATATGGAAATTGTCAGACCAATTATTGTCAGGTCAACGATTTCATAAATAATAGTATGATTATTGTATATTACACCAGCACATGTACAGCAAATCGCCATTTAACCCTCTCCGACCTGAATTATTTCTTTCAAATCAAAAAAGTATTTTGTTTTTGGATATCAGAAGATCAGGAATATTAAAAAAAGAAACAAACAAAATTGTTTATAAAAAAAAAACGAATATACACTAAACAATTCCGAAATATTATTTTCGAGAATGTAACGGCAAAAAATTGAACTACACGGTACAATGCATATTGAATCTTCAGGCTCGTAGTATACGTTGTAAATGCTAAGTTAATGATTTCAAATGGAATCCTACGGTCGGAAAGGTTAATAGAAACTTCACATGAACGCCAGTTCTAATGACAATGCAATATTTTGGGGGATATTCTACAAAAAGTATATACAACGTAGATGTAACAATAAAAAACATAAAATAGACATGTTTAATTTAAGGACATGATTTGATTAGACAGTTTTGATTAGACGGTAACTTTAAAATGTTAGTAAATTTACTGAATGTGTTTACGATGTTAATACAAACGATTCCTTTCTCTGTAATTTTGAGAAAAAATGATAACTGTTTAATTGCTGTCCACTACAGATGTCTTCAATTTAACCACTCGCTGTTAAAGTTCATGTTCTATTATTGCAGTGGTTGATAATCGATCGGAAGTTACTTACCTGAGTAGTTCTTTTTATCATTTGTAGAAAATTCATGAGAATGTTGTAACACCTGTGAGTAACACATAGTTTGTCACTTTATTATATTGTGAAATACATAACGTAGTAAAGCACAAAATCATTTATATACTGTAGACATGCTTTCACATTAATAAATACAAGTCGTAAATTTACACTATTATATGACATTCAATTCTATGTTTACTTACATTTTATCTTTCCCGCATGTACCAACGATGAGTAATAAATGTCTCTATCTAATTCTTCGTGTTTTACAATATGACCGTAAAATTCAGTGCTCTCATATCGAGCATTAATACCAGAATGCCTAACGAATCATATTCATCAAAATTTAATACCGTGTCATAATACTCTGACCTGGACCAAAAGATCAAAATACAATCACACGATTTATTATTTCGTCTTGGGAGAAGTATCTATGCTAAAATACAGAAATTGTTACCCACTTATTTTCCCATGATTACAATAGAACAGTGATGTATTCTAAATTGTTATTAAGTTGGGACTGCATTCTGCTAATGAGAATTGGAGATTAGCCCGTATTCACACGCACTTGCAATGCCATAGCCGCAATCGATCAGTTGTTAGACGCACCTAGAATAATTTGGTTAATTACACGGAGGCTCGTTCGCGAAGGATCTGTCACGAACACTCATTGCATGATAATTAACCGAGGGCAATGGGTCTATGGTTTTAACTACTACCTGTAATGAACACGTCAGGGAAGTCAGAGTTGACCAGCACATTCAATTGTTATCCTGGGTAAATGTTTCCTTATATGCCACAAACGGATTGCATTTTTTAGATTAGACTCAAATCAAAAGCTTGCACTGATGATATAAAAAATGTGTACAACATAATTTGAATACAGTAAATCCTCGATGAGGGTTCTAAGGCTCCTCGGCACTGATAAGGTAGTCCACTCAAATTAAACAAAAAGATAGGCGATCTGCGGAATAATTCCCACCAAGCTGCATTTTGGTATGGACCTTTATTTCGTTGTTTTAAACAATATGTCAAAAGTCCCCATCGATGCGACCCCTGTCAAATATTTTACAGACTGTCAAAGATAAAAAAAAAATAGTGTTTCGCAAATATATCGTTATCTGTCAATTCTAGGGCAAAAGTAGTTATTATCAAATTTGTAGCTTAGGAAATTCTCTAGAAAATAGGTTTTCTAAGTTTTTTTTCGTAAGAGTTACCATTTTCATGTATGACGGCTCACAAAGTTGCAACTTTCATACTTCTGAGAAATAATGTATTCCTTTCTGTACCACCTGGGAGGTAGTGAGTACGTAATATGTATCATGTGAATTTGTAAATAATCGTGTACATACATTAATAACTATTTTTTCCCTAGAACTGACAACGAGATATCTGCGAAAACTATTTTTCTTATCTTTGACCCTTTGTAAAACTTTTAGCAGAAGTCCCATCGATAAGGACTTTTGACATATTGTTTAAAACAACGAAATAAAGGTCCATACTAAAATGCAGCTTGATGGGTTAGGATATTCCGCAGAACAATCCTAATTTGACTGGACTAATAGAGAGGTCCGTGGCCTTCTTTGAGCTTGACAAACCTGTATCTGTTGAAGATTGTAAGTTATAACTGAAAACAATAACACACCACCATCAATTCGTAAACTTTGTATTCATTTCATACCATAAATCGATATCACCTGCTAATAATAAAAATACATCTGCTTGAATGAAACAACAAATTACAGAATAAACATAAAATGTAGAAAATAAATGGCATTAAATTTGCAGTACGTAAATGGCGAGCTTTATTTAAGAATATACATGTGTAACGATAGAATAATAACAGTGTAGATAGTGAACAACACAGGAAAGCAATATTATTTAAATATGCTATAATTATCGAATTCTCCTACAATTCTCTGACTTAACAGATATTGATCTAATTGAATTAGTGTTTCCCAGTAATTTTATCTAGAATAGCTTGAGTTAGGACTCGACTAGTAAGATCCTTGGCAATATTAGTTAATTGATCACCGAAACTTGGTTTCTTAGTAGTAGGAGGTGGCGGATAATATCCTCCTTGTGGTGGTCCTTGTGGTGATCCTTGTGGATATCCCTGAGGATATCCTTGTGGGTACCCCTGAGGATAATTTCCTTGGGGATAACCTTGTGGATACCAGCCTTGGTTGTATCCAGGATTCTGATTACCGTAGGGATTGGATTGTCCAGGATATCCAGAGGGCGCGGGATATCCTGAATTTTGGCCCTGATAGCCGTTTCTAGAAGACTGACTAGGATATCCAGCATTAACCGTGCTTGCATCCATGCGCCTAACGCTTTCTTCGTTTGTCGACGAACTACCGGGGTAACCAGAATTCGATGGATATCCTCGAGAGGAAGGATAAGAACTAGCAGGATAGCCGCTTGAACTTGAAGGATAACCAGAGGAACTACCGCGCGACGGATAATCGGTTCTTGATCGATATCCTGAATTCGATGGGTAACCGGAAGAACTCCTCGAGGGATATCCGGATCCTGAAGGATAGCCAGAGCTACTCGATGGGTAACCAGAACTACTTTGCGGCGGACTTCCGGACTCCGATGGGTAACCAGAACTTCTCGGTGGGTATCCTGATGAGGGATTATCTCTAGAGGGATAACCGTCGCTTGCTGGTAGGGCAGGGTATAGGGAGCTAGGGTACCCAGAACTTGACGGGTAACCAGATGAGCTGCTCCTGGAAGGTGAGCCAGAACTAGACGGATAACTAGAGGCTTTAGACGATTCACTGGGATATCCACTTCCAGAAGGGTATCCTGATTTAGGTGACGGTGAGCTCGACGATTCCGGTGCCGATGATTGAACGTCACTGCTGCTCTGCCGTCTTGCTATTATCTTGTTGTCTCCATCGTTGAACTCTGCGAACAATTCGTTATCTACCTCCTAATTGTCTAGATCAGTTCACGTTTTGGGCTCCGCCCCATGCCATGCCGAGTCCAACATAGTTTTCTTTATAACTTCCCATTTTCTTTTTGCGTATATTTATTTCGTCCCATAGCCAATGTTGCTTTGAGAAGCCAGGCTGACGCAATTGTGCAAATTGTCAATGGTATGTTGATTATCGTATTATATCGATTAGTGTGTTATTAAGCTAATCGTATATTAAAATTGTTTTCGCACGTTAATTGTATGTGTTATTATTGTTGTTGAATTCTCTCTGTTAATGTGTTTGCGCTTGAAAATGCAAAGTACATAGCGTGTCACAATTGTATCATGCAATTTAGAATTTGTATATTTGTTACAATTGATGTTATTGAATAATGTTCACTTATTAAGAAGTAGCTGATGTTTTAGACACATGCACGCACTTCAGTATGTGATTATTCATTAGTAATTTTATGTTTGGATCATGGGAATAATATCTTACGATCTAACGATGTTTTATAGGGAATCTAGGAGATTATGAGGAACATAGCCAGTATACTGAGAGTTTAATGTATTTAATATTCTTGTTCGCTACATATGGCATCGTTTTAAGTACTCATTAAGTACCACTTCCTTAATATATCTACATATATGTAATAGCAACGGTACACAAGTATGTCATATAATCTGTAATTATGGCACTATAAAGAACCCACAGTTATCAGTACATAAATAAGTCACCTATACGATTGCATTCATCGTAAGTCATTGAATTGCAGTATTTGAAAATTAGAAACGTGAAATGAGAGATAACAAGAAACTGTCATCAGTCAGGTAATTGCTAGACTCACTTTCTGTAACATTCACTATCGCCCTGTTTGTCCACAGTACCAGATGAATGTTTTCGGACAAACCACTGATGTTACATTAAGTAATCAACGCCTGCCGTGTCTAATTGCTGTTTTCTTAAGTCGACCACATTTCGATATATTTTCTAAGTGACGACGTTGAACACATTATTCTTTTCTTATTGAATATACCGTCTATTTCGGGATGTTCACACATAAAGAAAATATAAATATTAACACTGCATTAAACCGTCTATGATTTTTTGTTTGAAAATGTATGGCAAACTTTTGCCTCGTACCAGCCAAGAATTGATGAAGTAAAGATATATTATGCTGTTCTCGTAAAACTCATATTTCAGATTACAATTTATGCTTGTAAACGAAACATCACAATACTTTTGTCCAACAAAACATACATAAAACTTATTTTATATTTTGTAATATGTAGATATCTCCATGTAACTTTCATAAAAGTTAGCATTGCACTCATAGTAAACACACCACAAGGCAGAACTTTTCTAACATCCCCATAACAACAAAGAAAAATATCTGTGTCCGAATTCATTTGTCCGGCACTGTATATGTATTAATGTAAAAGTGACAATTCGTAATTTTCTACTAAAAACATAAGTACACTTCGTGTCAAATAAGCGATCCTAATTATTCGAATGGCCGTGTGTAATTGTACGTTCCTTTATGTTTCACAATAACTGCAGTTTTCAGCCTGTAAAAAAAAGACTTGGTCCCAAAGAGAAAGTTAAACATAAGCAATGTATTAAAATGGTTGTGGTTCAACGATTAGCCGGAAAATCTCCAGATTCGATTCCCCTGGTTATCGACGGACGTGTGGGTGTCGTAATAGCCGCTACCACCTGGTTGCATTCGGCTTCTAGGAGTAGTTGCACCACGGGTTCCATAAATACGATCATTCCCGAACAAGCGATTAAAAATAGAACCGTCCCCAATAGTGTTCCTTGATCCCGAGTTACCGCTGATTCTTCCACCATACCCATTGGACGAAGACCTTGGCGGCGGAGTGGGTGGTGTTGGTCTGACTCTTCCCGGTCTTCGAGTCGGGTATACTGTTAAATTGGAGAGTGGTAGTCAAAAGGTAACATACACAAACGCGAAATGAACGTGATAAATAGTACGTGACTTGTCCAAGAGAATAAATTACTTAAGAGCAATATAAAAAATTAAAATCTTTCCACGTACCATTAGATAGGTCAAATTAATGGAGTACATTGTTAGTCGATATTTCATGCCAATATTATATTAACTATACTTTGTTTGCGCTCTTGAAGCATGCACAATGATTATTGTTAGTTTTTTCGTATATGTAAGTATACAGGGGTCTTTTTATGCAATTATATGTTCCATTTTGTACTTCCACTCTTCAATTTGAATGTTAACACGATACAGTTCCTCCGAACTTTTTATTACCAAAATATAAATGATGTACGACCGAGCATGTATATAATTATATTATAATATTATTTGTAGGTAAGAAATTATAGTCATTAAGATAATAAAAAAATAGTACTTATCCTACAAAGTAGAAAGGAGAACGTAATGAGAGAGTATTATCACAGACGAGATATAAGAATAGACTTAGTGTCCCACGAAAATCACGCTGGTTCGAGCGCACTCCAGATAAAAGTTTCTGACTTCAGGAACTACGTTCGACACCGTGATGACGCACAGCAGACACACACACACACACACTCGTGACTGCATACAGCGATTCATACATACAGTATTGCTCTGGTTTCGCTAGCATGGATTGGAATACTGAAATGGCACGGGGGCTTCTGATGCCCTCGAAACATGGGACAGAAAATTACATTGCATGTGAGGTCTATTCTTCTATCTGATCTGTGGTATTATATTAATGGAGAACTGTAAAAAAGATATAACATTATGAAAATTGACCAACAATGAAGACCTATTTAAGGAAAGTTTGAAGAGTCGCTGTTAAAATGAGAACGATATTATTCATCACATACTTAAGCAACGTGACCTACAAATTACTTCTACGCCGTTGACTGACGTTGATAAGAAGTGTCAGGGTTCGACACGATAACAAGATCAGTTCGGTGTTCGTCGAATACGCCTCTGACAAGTTAATCCGAAATTAATTCTTAGGAATACTAATGGACTGATTAATTCAAGAATTTTCTACCCAAAACAAGTGGCAGGTATCAGAGTAAGTTTATGAATTCGTAGAAACATTTTTTATTCCGAGTCAACAATTTGTATAATGGTATCGACTACATTTATCGCATATGTACGCCAGTGCAGAAATATATTATATTGCTATATAAATAAATTTATATGCATGCACATAGATATTTGGACGATATTTCATTAATTCTAGCAAAAATTATTTATCGGACGGCAAAATGTGTTTCGTTCGCAACGAAAACATATTATCGAGGTACACAGTTGCACACTTGCTAAAATAGAAAGTAAGACAATAGTTCTTCCATAAATCGTACCCACAGTATCAGGTACCAAAACAGACAGTTTATGGGAATCGCTTCGTTCGACTAATCAACCATCTTGGATGTTTAACTACGTACTTTGTTCCTTTCATTCTGATTATGCTCTTTTGAAGAGCTACTTCTTCGACAAAAGATCACGATTTTAACATTTTCCTTCCACAACATTTTGTAAAATCTTGCTTGATTAATAAACACATGATTGTTCACGATTAATAACTGTAAACGCGTTGCGCAAAAATAACTGACATTTCTAAAGGACGCAATGTGATGTAAATATGTTATAATTTTCACACTGAATTAGTGTACGTATGAACAATAACATTGTTCCATTGTTCTGTCATCGTTAAACAACCAAACTTTTCATATAAGAGAGCATAATGTTCATGAATAATACTACCGTTATAAATTAGACAAATCCGCAATGTCCGTGTAAAAACTTTTTACAATTACATCTTAACCCTTTGCACTCGACTGTGTAAAATGAATGGAAAATTAAAAATTCCGAGTACAAAGGGTTAATATTAACGAGTATATTTGAAATCTAAAAGACAAAAAATCAGTAAATAATCAAATTCGATGAGAACTCCTTCGTTTTACCCCTTCGATTCAATTAACCCACGTACCGTTCGGACAAATAAAATACAAAAATAAATTAGTAGAAACGATAGAAACTGAATGAAATCATTCGTAATATCACCGAAACAATTCCAAAACCGGAATTTTAATGTACGGAATATACGTATAATAGTTGTTGCACTCGATGGAATAATATTTTCTCGTTACAGTCATGGGACAATATAACGATATCGCTAAAATGCCTGCGTTTTTTCGTGTTCAGGGAGTTCCTATGTACGACGATCGAGGGATATCGCGGGAAGTTCACCCATTATTGGAACGCGTCGAACAACGAGATAATAAAGAATCCGGACATCGACGCTTCCGATCACGACCTGTTTGCGACTACGATCATAATAAAGCTGGTCAGACAAACGGCCAATAAAGACGCGGACTGGGCGACAGCGTTGTTCCTGCGATAACCGGAGTACACCTTCTTGTGATTTATGGGACCCTGAGGATAATTAGAGTACGGATAATTAGGATACGGTTGCTGCGGAACACCTGGATACTGGTGCGGATAACCAGGTTGCGGAGGGTACGCAGGATTGTTCGCTGCTGGATATCCAGGCATGGGCATCCGGTTTTGCGTCGGATACGGCGGATATCCCAGGTCGTGTTGTCGATTTCCTTGATTCGTCGAAGGATAAGGTGGATATCCACTGTTCGAGCCACTGTTGCTCTGAGAAGGTGGATATCCGCTGTTCGAACCGCTGTTACCAGGATACGCCGGATAACCTAAATTGCTTCCGGAATTCACTTGACGATATCCACCTCCAGCTGGTTCGGGAGGGGCGGGTGGCGCATTAGCATTCGCGTAAGGATTCGAATTGCTGGCGCTGTTGCTGGTCTTATCGTGGCCGTCATCGGTGTTGGTTCGATGCCCGTTCACGTACGAAACTCCAGCCGAATCGTATCCTGAAAAGATTGTCCTCTTCTACGTCGTATTTCACATTTCGATCGGGTTACGTTGGATAATTAAACGGAAAAGGGGGTCAGACTAACAGGGAATACGTCTGGAGAAGTACTATAAAATGGCACTCTGCTAAAATGGATATCCTTACTAATACCTGGGTCAGAGTAAAATGCACTGGTCGCTATTGGCTACTTTCACGATTTTTAATTTTGTCATGTATGATTCTGAGTTTCTGCAGAGAGAGGGAGATAGAATGATGGTCGAAACGTTACGTAGGAGGCGTACCTACGGTAGCCTTGAACGACCAGCTGATTTTGATCGGACCACTACAATTACGCCGCACGCACTAGCCTACAAAACCTTTCACGGGAAATTCGAGATTTTAAAGTGACTCGTTTTATTGGAGTTAGCTAGATGGTGGGTGCAGTGAGAACACCAAAAATCGTGCAGTTACTTCGTACGGTATTACGTATGCAAAAGTTATCGGAAAGCGGTAGGGAGAGGTAAAGATAGCGGGGCCATGCTACGTGCAGTCGTTGTTATGCCACTAAAACATTGCAGGAAAATCGTACTGTCCTTTTTTCATCATAATATAGATGGAATAACAGTTTAAAAATTCAAGGCTAACATTATGACCTCAAGGAAATATAAAAAGCTTCCCATACAAAATTTCTGGTAAGAAAATGATTGTTATTGTCATTTCCATTGCACAATTAAAGAATACAGTGCGATAACACGATAAAGAAAGAAAAACAGGAAAAAGTTGTAGAAGTCAGGTTCAGCGAACGCTATATTTTAAAAATGATAATTATTTATATTTAAAATTCTAAACCGAAAATACTGTTCTTCTGTCTAATAGAAATGTTTAAACAATCTGTACTAATGTGTAAATCTATAAAAAAAATTATTTTTACAACTGAAGTAAAACATTTTGTTAAAAACTACAAAAATACTTATAATATCATTTACAATATTTCGTTCAAATTTATTGGTCGTTCGGGGAATTCGTAGCGTTTCTAGCATAGTGTCTTCGTTATCTTTTTACTAGACAAAGAAAACATTGTTTGATCTGGTGAACAGGTACTATTTTCCAGGTATGAATTGAACGTATTTATTTGTAGTACAAGTTACTCATCGTTGTGTCTTTTATTTTCTTTGAAAAATATCGACAAAACGTGTGATCAAGCACAAAGTTAATTTTCAGTACCTACGTTCTATCGAACGTGAAAAAATTACACTAATTTGACTGGAAAATTTTATACCATCAACCCAATTAACTAGACTTCGCCCTATCAGATGGTTATTACTTTAGATCATAAAATTATTCTGTATCAAGAAAAAAATTCTAAAACAACATCCATCTATTAGAAACAGATTGAAGAGCTTTTTTAGCCAATACAATCGGAGTTGTATATAACCGGTCCAATTATTAATTGAAAACCGGTGAAATTAATTGAAAAATGAAAAGAAATTGCAAAAGAAAGTAATAAATAAGAATATGATATAAATTGAAAAATATAGATTGTAACTTATGATATATGCCCCTAAAACCTTACGAACTATCCGAATAAATGCTTCTGCTTGAATGTGTGAACGAAAGAATATTTAAACTTCGACTGCGTAAAACGTTCGTGCAAAGTTAATTTTGTTCCCTACGAGAGTAATACTCTTTTTTCCTTTCATATCCACAGGACGCTAAAAGTTTATACGTTCGAGAGCAATTTTTCTCAAAATTCTATAACGCTGCGTGAGTAGACGCGTATCTACACGCTCACGTGTAGTAACGGACGATAATGGAAAGGTCGTGTTCGCAAAAGTCGAGAAAAGAAAGAAAAAAATCCCCTATACAGGCTCTTGGGGTTCTCGACCACGAGTTACAAGCCCGCTTTACACACAGGGTCATGCCACGCGAAATCAAACATTTTTTGGTGCACCATTTCGGATTTTGTTCAAATTTGGATATGTTGTAGTTTTTAGCGACATCTAAACGTATCTCGAAGGATTTTTGAAAATTCAAAAAATTGGTGACTTTACAGCTGTTTGAAATTTAGAATCAATCTTTTTTCAATAAATCATAACTATTGAACTAACAAACTGATCAAAATGAACTTTATGGGTACTTACAATTCGATGCAGCGTTCACTTCAATTAATTTTCATACGGGCAATTTTTAGATGTCCATATTTTTGAAGATATGTCCATAAAGAGGACAAATAGGGCTATACCCTCCTTTTTTCAAATTTGTTAATAGTTCCCTGATATAAAAACATGGCATTTATTTAAAACAATTGCAAAAGAAATGGTTAAAAAATATTTTTTTAAACTGAAATCATTTTTATTTGATATTCTCATGTCTCCACTGTAAGTACCCACAAAGCTCATTTTGATCAGTTTATTAGTTCAATAGTTATGATTTATTAAAGAAAGATTAAGCCTAAATTTCAAACAGCTGTATAATCAGCAATTTTTTAATTTTTTTTAAATCCTTCGAGATACGTTTATATATCGCTAGTGAGTACAACATATCCAAGTTTGAACAAAATCCGAAATGGTGCTCCAAAAAGTTTTCGATTTCGCGTGGAATAACCTCATAACAATACGCTCCGAAATCACAAATTAACGCTCGAATACGCTTTTGTTATTAAATTCTGTACCGAATGGAAAATTCCAGTCTAGCTGTATGAGAAGAATATATTCAATGGTCATGCGTTGAAATTTTATAAAGTAACCCTATTTATAAAAGTATCAGAGTTACTACTATGCTATAATACTTAATAAATCAATGATAATAATATGCAACATTATTTTCGTTCAGTCAATGTGCACGACGTCATACGACGAACTAAGTCGCGGAAATCATACGAATGTACAGTTTGCAAGACGAAGTACACCGGAAACGTTAATAAAGTGGGCACGTATCAGTGTAATTCACTCGCTACGCGATCTGCAGACATCTGCATCGGCAGAGAACCTGTTATTACCACATTAATCATGTTTAAGCTCTCTGTACACGAAATATTATACTTAGCAGTAATTCGAAAAACTACTGAAAATATCGTAAAAGATACCTTCCTACGATAGTTAAAACATAATTTTCACAAAATAATCGGCAAATAAGTTACAGAAAACCGTTCCGTGAAAATGAGGAAATAATTCGAATAGCAAGAAGCAAAGCGTAAAGGTTTTTATACCACAGCGTGCAGAGGATTACAATAGCTTAAAATTCAATTAGCAAACTCTGAATTACGGAACTATTCAACGCCGTGCAGTATCTCCTATTGCGAGTGTGTTTAATTAGAAAATAATTTTGCAAGTTGTCCATTATCTTGCAACTGAATTTCGTGTATTTGACCTTAATACTTTCGATGGAATACATTGACGAGTCATTCGGCGAATGTACAACAATTTCAGTCGCTATTGTATACCTCTTTGAAGCGTATGATTCGGTACCATGCAGTTTCATCCATGCACAATCGACCGTTATTGTTAACAAATAATGTAGGCATCTTTAAAAACTCACCAATTGCGGTTGATTTCCTCACGCATGTTGGGGCACCATTCTCCGTTTTGCAGTATTCATTGTCACCGCAGACAGTGCTCGCACAGTTGGCCACTGTAAATAATACAGAACGAACATTTATATACATAGATGCATGTATTTTTAAAATGTAACCACTGACTGAGATACGTTTTGAGCAAACAGTATGGTATGTAGAAATTTGCATATTATTTTCCAGACGTAAAATTTTATGAGACATCGAGGTAAACTTGATTTCCTTAAATGGAATGCAGACACCATCGAGTGAATGTTAAGAAGACTTATTCATGGACGGGTACACAGCGAAGAGTACTTTAGATTGCCATTATTTCGTGTCATCTTTATGACGTTCAACGTTTCGGTATTCACTTTAAAAATATAAACCTTCCATATTACAAATTTTTCATTAGAAATCACTGGATTTACTTAAAAAATAGTTATCATTTTACAAGTATACAGGTACCAGTTTTGTATAGATTATTTAATTAACTGTTTCTTTTCAGTATGAAGATAGCAATACCGTTACAAAGATACTAATAATCTAAAATATTTAATGTTGCAGATATGGACACATAGTGCAGCGATTCTAATTAAGCGTCGACAACGAATTTCTGAATGATTAATTATGTCGCATTTACTGAAATGTTGACGCGTTATTCATTGACAGTATCGGCTACAAAGCACCTAATTTCGTATGTAGTCAGTCACTACCTTATACGCACTGTATTCACATTTAGTAAGCTCATTATTATTTTGGGCAACCCAGCAATCAATAATTTATACGCCGAAAGGGGAGAAGCATTGTTCACAAAATGCAATGTTCTAATCAGGGAATAATTACCTAGGATTCACTAATTATGATTTTGTTTATAATTATAACAGTGTGTGTTTAATACATCTATTAAACAGATACCGTAGTTTGTATCAAATACTAACTATACAATACCCTTTACTACATTAAAAATTCATTATTACCATGTCTGATAACAACTGCCACAAATTTTCAATATGCCTCTAAAACATGAACAATAAATTGCGGATTGTATACATTTATTTCATACACGACAGCCAGTACAGCGAAAAGTTTACAGGGACAATATTAAGAACTATAGAGATTAGTAAAATATGACGTTTTATGATCTCTCGAAAAATTCGAAAAACACCGGCGACAGGAGAAAAGATGTGCACGAGTCCAAACAAAGAACCTTGATTACACGTGCGGACGGCATAGTATTTATAACTATACATATACACTGCTGTATTCAGGAAACTCTGCTCTATCTTTCAAGATTAAATTGAACTTTCTAACATTTTTTGTTTCCACGTAATACGTCATTTCTGCCAAAAATCGGGTGTTTTGACAAAAGCTCGTGTTTTTCAAAAACTATGAGAAATAGAGAAATTCTGCTTCCGGATTCGTGATTTGAACGAGAAACTCTACAAGGATCTCCCAATAGATATTGCAGATCAGAAAAAAAGTTTTAATTTGTTGGACAGTGTAATCGTAATGAAAGAGACAATTTGTCAAAAGATATTAAGCAATAAATTATTTGTGATAAGAAAGGAACGTCAATGTGTCTGTTCTTTTAAAACTATTTATAAAAATTACTAAGGCATGCTGTACTACGTCAATGATTCTCGGCTGTGAACGAAATGTCGTAGAAGTACGTCATCGGTTCGTAATTTTAGATGTGTAAAAGGACGTAACAGCACGTCATCAGCTCCAGACGTAGTGGTACGTCATCACCTTCCACTTTTAGATCTAAAAGGACTCACGCGGTGCGTGATCGATCGCGAACACATTAATAAAATGCACCTAAAAAATTACACATACACACACATTTCACTCGTTCCGAGTCTCCTGCGTCCATTCTTGAACGAGATTATGTATGAAATGTATTTATGGAAAGGTCAACTACATTCTTACCGCCTGGATGAGCTTTTGTACAAGTCGGATAACGACCGCAGTTATCTCGTTGGTAGATCGAGCAAGGATCCTCGGCTATCACGCAGATCTCATCCCTCATGCACCCGATGTCCTTGCATGTCCTCCCGTATTCTGTGAACAGAGAACGTTATAACTCTTTGTGAGCTTTCGTTTAGTGGCGAAAGTTCGAGTAGTAAGCCATGATCCCGCGATTGGATACGGTTCATTAAAACTTCTCCACGGAGGGAGGGACGTGTCATAAATGGGAATTTATATCGGAGCCTTTGATGTTCTATCATTTGGATACTTTAATTCCGACCAGGCCAAGGGGGTATACGGGACCATTGTGTACTTCGGTAAAGTCCTACCATTAAATATTTACACGATCGTGGTTTTATGTTGAACTTCAAAGTATCCAGAGTATACTTTCTGGACTTTTGTGTGCCGTTACTGTCACAGAATCTTATACAGCCGTGATAAAAAGGAGTTTAATGTTTATCTGTTACATTAGCAACAGAATAAAGCCTGTTTTTTGAAGGGTGGGGCAAAGAAAAATTGTATTCGTTTCATGCCATTTAACTGTACACTGACGCGCAAACGCGGCTTCCGCTAGAGGAAAAAGTGATGTAGGGAAAAGACCTCCTACCATTTGGTCTCGGAGTTACTGAAATTTATAACAAATTAACATTCGGTTTAACATTTATTTCGGTATTTGAAATAAATTTATGAAGTGACAGGAAACCCTTACCCCTACGACACTTTTTCCGCAAACGTATTATTTCATTGAAATTTGGTGACTGTGGAGGAGGATTTAGCTGACTAAAAGTGTCTTCCAACAACCAATTTTTAACCACCTTCGCTGTATATTTTGGATCACGATCTTCCTGAAAGACATGAGTTTGGCAAACGTACTTTTGTTACACTTGCAACTAAATTTGATTTTAAAATATCGAAATATCCAAATTTGTTCACAGTACTATCAATAAAAGCCAATTGTCACAAACTAGAGAATGCATTCACGTTCATCATGTTCCACCGTATTTACAAAATTTTGTGGTTATATCTCTGAACTTCTTTTTCTCCAAATTTTTAGCTACCTTTACATTACACAATGCTAATCATCATATACAGCTATATTACTACCTCGATCTTACAAGAGAACATCCCCAGAACGAACATTTTCTAGTTCAAACTGGCATACATTCGTAGATAATTAAAAACTATTGGAAATGTATTTTTTATATTTGCTAAGAAACACTTTGGATGGGTGAAACAGCCCCTCACAGTTCTTCAGTTAAAACATATTTTCTACGATTATATGTAAACTAATGATCGTATAAAAATTTTTGAAACGAAAGTGGCTTTGTTTTTAATGTAGAATTATATGGGTGCATATAATTTTTTGGTTGAAAAACCTTGGATGACACATTTTTTATGCGCCCATATAAATATACGTTAAAAACTGAACAACTTTCGTTGTAAACATTTTTCGATACAACGATTAATTTACACATAATCATGAAATGTATGTTTCGAACTATGAACTTTGAGGGACTGTTCCACCCCTCAAATCGTTTATTAACGAAAACAGAAAAATATGTGTTCAATAGTTCCTAATTCTCTACAAACAAAAATTATGCCAGTTTGAACGTAAAAAATTTTCGTTGTAAAGATAATCCCTTGTCATTTAGATGCTACAGAAGCATTACGCGAACTTCACCTTTTAAGGTGTATACTTATTTTAGACTCCCACTTGTATGTTTACATTTAAGTGACTTTAACTCAATATTCTCCACCCACGCCAAGTTCCGTCAGAACTTCGGACAGAAACTGTGTAACTGAGCCTAACGTAATTAAATTCACGGGAACCTGTTATTTAGCAACTGAAATCTAACTCCGTAAACAACTGAATACGACACTTGACCGCAATTAATGTTCTCTAAAGTGACTCGTTCGATATGTAGACTCGTGCGTGAACTTAGATTTCTCGCTTGAAAAGTCGAATGGTATGCCGTTTCGTTTCCCGACTGATGTCGGTAAACATAAAAAGAATTCGTGCCGAACTAGCAATGAGGATGCGTGTTCGACAACATAGAGAAGTCATTCCACGTCAAGCTTATCACTTGTTTATCTTCGTGTCTGGGATTTTGTTAAAAATGTCGTATGATGTAGTCCACGTGGAATTACTTCTCACTCTTTAGAGTATAGGTACTTTTCTTCTCAATATACGATCAAATAAATATGAAATAAAATTTTTCTTCGTTCATAGATAAATAATTTGAAAAATGTTTGAGTTCGTCTTGCACCAGATCTTTTAATAGTGATAGATGAGAAAATATATTTTTGACAGTCAGCCAATTGTACTAACCATTTTCTTCATTTACGGGGTATCTGTTATCTCTCTTCAAGATACAGAGCAACTGCTACACCAAATTCAATTTTGTTTCGTATAGACAAATTTTCAAACACCATTTCACTACTTCGAAGTTGTGCGTGCTACTTACTATAATGGACACTAAATAATGATTATGAGAAGCAATGTGATACCAAAAGACCGCCTCACGGCTCTACATGAGACCTGTGTAGTCTCACCATGTGTAGGGCACTTAAATGTTGGTTGAATTAAAGTTTAGATAACCAGCGCCTAAAAAATTGTTCGCTTCAATTAAAAATGTATTTCACGTATACTAAAGAACGCAGAGACGATTAGGTTTTATTAATCGCTTAATTGTTTTTCTGAGAAAATTATCGAAATTACATTCCCATTATATCAGAAGAACATTATAAATATTGTTAGTTACAATTCGTCATTTTTTACTAAACTGATATTCATTTCTAAGGTAGGTAACTGAAAATCTAAGCTACTTTAACAATAAATACCATTGTCATTTAATATCGTGAACAATTTTGAAAAATCAAAACATCGAAAAGATATTTTCCCATTAAAACTAAATCTCCTTTTAACATCACGACTACCATACCATACCCGGCTTATGAGACCCGGCCAAAACATTAATTTTAAAAATTAAACCAGAACATTAAGAGTACATTCCTTCACGTACGTGGTAAAATGTACCGTCTACAGATGATAAATTAGTACTTAATTACCTTATGAAAGTGATTACAATAATAGATAAAATAAAACATGACATAAACTATGTAATTATAACATAACTGTTTGAACACCAAGTCATACCGACATGTATCTCGTAACACATGTAACAGTCAACGTATTAAACAGCAATAGTAGATTCCTTATTTGTGTGTCTCGTAAATAACACGTTAACAAAAATATCCAATTTTAACATAGCTAAGATCTGGTAACTATAAATAGCAATTTAGTGTCGTCGAAAATTAACGTTTCTTTACCCCCGAACATAGAACGTCTATTGTGTATCTACCTGGCGTTATCCCTCGCATCGGCTTACCGCCGCTAATCGTAATTCTATTCGAGTACCCGAGTGTCATCACCATATAATCCCATCGATTCTCAATTATCCAACCTCCAAGGGAAGGAGAAGGTTGTCATGAGAGAAGAGAGGAAGAGAGAACGTAGCAGCTGCCGAGTTAACGCCCAGCATCGTGTTACCCATAACTGCCAACGTGTCGGAATGGCACGAAGAAAAGGCAGGAAAGGGTGTGGGGACGATGAGGAAATATTAAAACTAGGCTAACGATTCTCGGCCAAAACTATCCTGATAGGTTCATCATAGCCGAGAACAAAAAGGGCCGAAATAAAGGCGGGAACAATGGACTGCGGTAATCAGATAGGAAAGTATGTACAAAGGTTGTCTAAACTTGCACGGTACGCATGTAATATAAACAGATTTACATAATTACACGATGTAGATTTAATATGTGCGACGACACAACACGATACAGCCATTGTGGAGATTAACAATGAAAGTTTTAATGGAGTCTGACTTTTGCACAAGACTTTCATGAAAGGACTGACTAGTTTATTGTTTGGAAAGATTGTATTTATAATGAATAATTGGCAAACATAAATACAGAGATATGCACTACGTGAATGTAAATTATTTATTTTCTATATACTCACTGAATAACTAATACATCGTGTATTTCTACGAAAAACTTAATCGGATTTCATGAAAACTTAAATTCTTAATAGATTATACTTTCAAGAATTTCATCTTGTGCTACAGAAAAAATGAATAATATTTCCATTTATTTCTTGCATGGCAGTAATCTACATGCGGTTATAATCATTTTGCGTCAATATCGATTTCGCAGTCGTAATTAAGGTCAAGCTATTAATTACGTGCAATAAATCAAACGCACTACAATTTCGATTAAACAATTTCATACCGAACATGTGCCATCTCTTTTATTCAGCAAATAAATAAATCGCAGAAACTAAAGTAAACATATTTAAGATTACTGACTTAGACTATATCAGAATTGCTATGGTACCACTGTGAGAATTGCATGTTACATAATTGTAAGTATTTTATAATCACGATTCATTTCCATTGTTTGCATTCCCGCGACAATTGGATTTTTTGCGTATTGCGTACTATGAAAAAGCTTGTTGAAAATTGTCATATAAAATAATAATTATTACAAGTATGAGACTTATATTCACATTTTCAGAAATTCCAAAAACTGATAAAGCAGTTGAGGTATCACCTCAATTGGTGTATTTAATTTGCACCATATTTAATTACAGAGCAGTTACGCTGATCTATTCATGACCTAATGATAGGCTAGGGATTAAATTTTATTAAATCTAATACAAGTTCTACAAACTCGGATAATTATTCACTAAAGTTTTGATTGCATTTGCAACCAGCAAACTTTTTCACGATTTGCGAAATATCCTTGTTTCCCTCACGAAGGCTAACTAGGATCAAGATTAAAGCTGATGTGCATGAATTTAATACCATTTACACGGAGGGTCCAAGGCACCTAATTCACAGCGGTAAAATTCCTCTAATCTTGCATCTGCAGTCACGATAATTATAAAGGATTAGAGTATTGCATGAATTGGCCGTCACTCAGACAAAAATAAAGAATTTTAAAGGCAACTGCAGAAACAAACCACGCAACGATCATTATTAGAAATATATTTGAACGCACTCCTCTGTGAATATTTCAAATTATTCAGGATTGAATTTTAACTTTCCTGAATCGTTGGATAAATCACAGGCATTGAACTTTAAACAAATACCCCTAAACAAAAAGGGGGAAAATTCATGGCCCATGAAAGAGAAACAAAAACGGAGACGGGCTGTTTTATTGGTGTTGCGCAAAACCGGGAAATAAATCGCATGATAGCACGAAAAGGGTGGAGCAATAATTGTTAACTCAGTGAAAACGATTAACGAGATGCCTCTGCTGTTAAAGCGAATTCGAATATGTCTGAACTAGGTGTCTCTCTATGGCCTTCCAACAAACGCTGCTTGATTACATAAAACCGCTACTTAAAGGTAATTCTTATGCCCCCATCGTTACCGGTATATCTATTACCCAAGCAATTACCCAAAAGTGCAATGGAATGAATAGAAGTAAAACCCTATTTAGTTCAAATATAAACATAATGTAATACAGGTAATTAGTCTGCGGATGTTTATGTAAGTTTCAATTCTTCTACGTGATTTTTGAAAAACAGGAACTAAACAGAAAACTGTTATTTTCATGAAAAAGAATTGCAGGAGATTAAAAATAAATTGTAACCTTTGGTGAACCATCAGTACGGTTTTAGTTCTATCGTATATCGTAAACTCGTATATGTCCATACACTATAAATACATAAACTTTGCAGTCTACATAAAAATATGTCATTTGAAAATATAAATTAAACACAAATATAATATCATTTCAAAATATAAAATCGATTGTTATAATTGGACTAGGTGTAGAATTAAATAGAAAAGAGTGTAGAATTTAAGTATCACTTAGTAATTAAAATTTAAATTGAAATCTAAAACATAGATGTTAATCGTTCGATAAAAAAATATCGTTAAGTAATATAATTTGACATTGAGCATTATTGCTCCTTAAATCTTCTGATTTCTACAGCGGTTTCCTTTTCCTTGATTAACAAGATTAGAAAGCGGAAGAGGGCATGGACTGCTACATATTATGACGAAGGTCGATGTAAATTACATCGATCCTGTCGAAGATTAAAAATGATCGTTTCATTCCATTAGATCCAATTAACTCCACTAGAACCGATCAATTGGACGGGCTTAGTTTAAACCCTAATATTGCAATTGTAGCTATTTTACACTATATATTACGTACATCAGTTTTCGATCGCCTATATAGTTAAATACGATTTCAATAGTTTCAACATTTCATGGAAATTCACTGTAAAATTTACTATTGTTCGTGATCTATCTTTAATGAAAACACAGTAGCATGAACTTTTTGGAAAGGCACTTGAAAGTTAAATGCAAACAATAGTGTTTAATTCTTACTTACTGGTGAACGATGTTGCATCTGGTATCAATGAGATAACCAAGATTGCCCCAAAAAGGACACCCAGCGTAGAACTGGAAAACATTTTCTGAAACAAAGAAATATTTTGCTTTATAATAAACAACATGCATATTTCTATTCCAATAGTATTGTCTACATATTTTTCGATAATACCGTTGCCATTTCCTGACTTATTAACTAAAATATCTGTTACCTATTAAAAGTAATAGCACAGAAACAATGAAAACACCGATTGTTATTTAATTCGTAAGTAAACATACGCATGATGCTTGGATAATGAAAATGGAAGTCACGGCGCATAACGTTTCATTGATTTCATTGCCAATAAATGATTTGCGGAAAGAAATAAACGCCACTTAAATCTTTTTGACCCTATCAGAAGTGTAAATAAGGAAACCGTGCATATTCGGATCGTCAAACACCTAATATTTGCATAATCATTCAAGAACGTAATGATAATGCATACGTAAACGACGGAAAATCAATATAATTGCCACACTTGGAAATTCCAGAATGTAACAACTGAAATCGTAATAATAATCTCATGATACATTACTACAAATACCACAGTAAACAAAACGTTAATTACGGTTTTTCGTAAAATATTCGAATTATAATTCACAAATATATTGCAGCTTGTAATTATTTTGTAATCACAATAATGAACAATATATAATTTATTCTGGTATCAAAAATATTGAAACTTTCATATTCTGAAATATAAGTCTAATAAATAAATAAAGGACATATCAAATATAGTACTCTACAGCTTAAAAACCTAATAGCAAACTGAAAATATGAAACAATGCAAACAAAAGATAATAAAAATAAAAAATAAAGAAAGTAATTACACATCACATGACTAAGACGTTCGTTTAAAACTATTACATAGTAGCAGTATATTAACCATTGAACTTGTACGTTCAAACGTACACAATATTTTAAATTTAGGCGCCAAATTGGATCTCGAAAACGGCTAGTCACGCGGTGTCGTTTTCAAGATCGTCCTTGTCTCACTCACACTTTCTAACCTCACTCGTCGCTCCAATCCTTGGAACAGGCGCGCCTAACCTCAAACGCGTCGAATAACAACAAACGACACACTCAGTTTCCAAGAAACTCGCCGTAATACAATTAGATTCTTGATCAATTGAATCGAAGTAGGCATTCAGCTGCATTCGTGACATTGAAACGATAATGTGCCACTCGAATGACCTTGACAGATTCTCATAAAACAATTGCGTCTCATTTGTTGCTACGCCTGATACCGTATTACTTTCATATCGTGGGCAAATATTCAAAATAAAAGGTCTCGAATAAAATCAAATAATTATCGTGAACCGTAAATTCACCAAACAATAACTTACTGCCTATACGTTAAAACACCTACTCTTCTACGTAGTCAGTAGAACACTGAAGACTTGGTGAAATTCACTGTCGTTACTAACCTGACGTTGCCGTGAGCCAGAGTGAAACAGACGAGAAATTGTATGCGATAGAAAAAGTGGGGAAGTACGGAGAAGGAGAACGATACGGCGCGAACGTGACGTAAAAGGGAGCAGAATGCTGCGCTGAGTGCACATAATCGCTTTGGTGACTATAAAAGATATAAAAATGCAATTTTTTCGGAAGGATGGATTTCCATTTTCGACCGAAGCTTTAAATACGCGACCTCTAGAAAATGTTATACCTCTAGAAATCGTGTATTTACATTGCATTCAAAAATCGCCATATTTAAAAGCTTCGCTTCTGAAAATCTGGAAATTAGTCTTCGACACCCTGAAAGTTTCGGAACTCATCAGGTACGTACTTAATACTTCGAAAAGTTGTAGGTAAGTGATATTGCTTACCTGTAACAAAAGACCTGTTTTCATTTTTTCGACATCCTTAAATACTTCTTTGGTTCTGTTACGAAATCCTCTTCATTGAGCGTTGAAAAGACAATGATCGTAATTGTCTTACTGAAAGAAATCAATCATTAGTGTACTTTTTAATTTTGGTACTTTTATTTGGCTTTTTAAAAATTAGATTAACAATAAGTTATAAGTACATAATTTCTACTGTGGAAAACAGAAGATTGTGTAAACAGCAGACAGAAGAAGTAAATACAATATTAAGTTATTTTTCAATTTACGCAAAGGTTATACGATACATCGTTTAATCAGTCAAGGTCTGCTATTTTAGTTTAGATGCTGTAAAATAATAATATAACAGTCTTTAATCATGGAATGTTAATTAAAGTTTCTGTTAATTTAAAATTTTTTAAATTTTCTTTATTTCTTTGTTCCTAGCATTTGTATTATAGAAATACTATTGAATGAGATACAATTGTTGACTTTTGCAGCGATTGATTAAAGTACCAGGAAATATTTGTAACAAATCCAAAGAACACGTTGAATCATAGATGTCTGCATTGCAATTCGATGATGTCACATTTTTTATGACGTCGAATGACAGCAGCAAGGAATTATTTTGAACTAACTATAAAGAGGAAGCACAAGTTTTCGAATTGTTTCGTTACATGTTGATAGTAAAGTCGAACTAGTCAAACAAGTTTCCTTTACAATTTTTTAGTAAAAAATGTTTCTTGTCTTGTATGTTCAATACTTCTTTTAGACAATGTGATTCATCCAACAGTAAACGAGTATTTTAATTTACAGTCCTTTCAGTAAAAATATATTTGTATTGTTATTACGCTATCGAAAGATCAAAATAGAAAGATCACAACGGCGCCGTTAATTCCACGATATCTTGCTACGTATGCATATAAATCATCTATACAGATTATTCTATTACGTGTCTCAATAACGTACTCCACGAAATGCGTTTGTGAACTGTTCTGTTATCTGTTATGATGTATCTCGCCCGGACGCAATAGAAAAGAATGTTTAAAAACCAGTTATCTTCGTGTTACGCAATTATGCAAAAGGTCAGAGTGTCATCAAACGTTTCAAATGATTCCTTCTACTAAGTTTTCACGTTACTACATATAAAAATATCATTATGCAAAAGATTTATCTGTAATTTTATCATAGGAGTTTACAATTAAAATTTTCGCGGAAGTAAATATTAAATTGGAAATGTTTTACAGAATTTTTTCATGAATACTGTTTGTTAACTCTTTTTTTACTGTTCATATTACTATGCCCATTTTTACGATGATAAATATTATATCATATTTGTCGGACTACGTAATCCAAAAGTAATCACAAACTTCTTTATGTTACTATTTATTATCACTTATTTATATTACCTCCAATAATTTATTCGACACTTTTGTTAATATTTCATAAAACAATTACAGTAGCAAAGTTGCACACTGCTAACGCCGTTATATCAAAACTTGAGAAGCGCAATTAAGAGAATTCCCAAGAGATTGACTAGCGATGGTCATCAAATTTAATGGAATCTAATATACAACATCTCTGACGTACAATTTTTATTTGTTATTCAATCGAAGTGTTTCCAAAATCAAAAAATTATTATCATTTTATCCAAAAATATACATAATTTACATGTTAGGAGATCAGTAGGCTATGTACCTACTCAATCCATAAAACAATAATCGGTAAAAGTATTCTCAATACACATTGTACAATTTTTTATATAAACTCACAAACATAAATATTTCAAGTGAAAAAATTACTTTTAAACGACAATCTTACACGAACAAATCAGAAACGTTTTGCGTCAGACTTTCAACCGACTGTCCGTTGCGTTTCCAAACTTGCCCCTTCACTTGCCTCAGTCACGTCTAGTGAGAAATCTCATCGACAAGGGTTTCCGTCAGACCCTCGCGTGTCAGACCGTTTCATCCTTGTGGAAAGAGCCCCGTGCGTCAGTTCAAGCTCTCCGTGCTCTCAATGGCAGGATGTTCGATCTGGAGACTGCGCAAAGGTCTTCGTAGTTCGACACCGGGGATGGAAACCTCGGGACGGAGGGAATCTGGGGGAACTTTCGCAGAGACGCTTTTGCTGGATGAACCTTTGGTGGTGGTTAGTCTCACAGTCACGCATACTGGAGTCCTTACCCTCCCTTTTTACCTTCACATGTACGTACACGCTCACGCATGCCATTAATATACATATTTTCTGTTGTTTCTTTTCAGTTTTACGTTTGCACACTACACGCGTTCCTCATCGCCATTCTTCCATCCAATGTATTTCATATTTCAGAGCTCACTGCATATCGTCTCGTATTCTCGGACGAGAGCATAAAAGCTACGAGATCTTCAGTTTCTCTTGTACTGTAGCATCCTTTCTTAAAGCAATTACCAACAGCACTCGTCCCCATTACTTCTCGATCCTTCCGCTCCACGCACCACTGATACTTCATCTTCATTCCCTTCTGTCCCCTAATCAGCTCCAATTGCACGAGACAATTCTCTTTCTTCTTTTCAATTTTCTTCATCCCCCGTGCGATCAACTTTCCCTATCAACTGGGGACTTTTAGAACGCGTACGCACTCATCCCCTTGATCCGATTCTTCAGTGCACTCTTTGTCTCCGAGTTTCTTGCTTGCCCACATATCATCAAAGCGAACTGGTATCCTCTATCCTCCTTCCAAAAGTTTAGCCCAAAGGAATCACTGCGGTTGTAGCCCAAAGAAATCACTGACTTTCAGACTCGTTCCCATTTTTCTCCCGCCGCATCCTGGAGTTTTACATACACCGCTCGGCGAGCGTTCATAAAACGCGGCTCGTACATAAAACTAATACGAAAGTGAATATTATACGTTTCGAAATTGCAACCGACGCATTCTCCACGTTACTTATTCCAAGCCAACGGCATTACCATTTCCATACATTCCAGACGTCTTCATAATCGTACCCAAACAAGCGTTTGCTCTTTCCTTTCCTTCCATCGTTTCTTTGCGAGTAGATGCCCGTCGTCCGTAATCCACCGCTTTCCTTCGTTCCCGTGGAACCTCTCTCTTCCTGGCATCGGTTGCGTTTCTCCCGCGTGAATGCGCGCGCGTCTCACCGCGCTTTCGAGAGGGTGCTGCGCGGCGGTTCACTCCGCGATCCTTTAAAAATTCCGGGAGGACCGCCGTGCAGAGGGGTGGGAGTGGGGAGGGTGTGCACCCCCTGTTTCTTCTCGGGCAATTCAGTGTTGCATCTCGTCGGGTGCATGAGTTCCGCGTTAACGATCGAGGAAGCGCGGTACTACGAGTGTCGCAGCGCGCCGTGTCAACTCTTCTGCAGTCAGTGATCGTGGAGGGTGCCAAGAGCGAACGGGGTGAAAGAAAAAGGGATGATCCGTAGGTGCGCGCGCGAGGGAGCACCTAAACTGCTCCTCGTGCAAAAGACTGTTTTCTGGGGTAGGAACTAAGGACAGCGTTCGGAACGTCGTAGGACACACATCGGGGGGGGGAAACTTCGGGTAAGTTTGAAGAACGTTGCTTCTACCGGTCACGAGTGGAAACTTTGATCCTCGATAGCCGTGTTGATCTTACTCTTACGTCTTCGCTCTTCTGTACGATTCCTCTACTTGATACTTTGATACCTTGTTGTCTCTTCGCGTCTGGATGAAACGTGTGTACTCTGTTAACAAAATTAATCGTGTTGCATCGGCTGTCGCGGTCTGGCTCACCTATTTGTCTTTTTGTGGTTTGTTTCCCTACGGATTTTTTGGTCACCGTGTTGTGCTCCGGTAAACAGCGGTCGAATAAACACGACACGGTATTTAAATGATTTAAGGGGATGTTCTGCGAATGGTTTCCAAATAGATTCTGAATGTTTTGTTGAACGCTGAAGAATCCTATATTTAATTGTTAATGTACTTGCAATTATTCATGTCCGTCTTATGTGTTCGATATGCCTTCCTTGAATTTTCTTTTAGGGGGTACCTTACTACTGCCGGTTGCCGTTAAGGTGACGCTAAATCAAGTATGCGATGTCGATAATTTTAGCATGATATGTGAGCCCCATGATATACTGCAAATGGGATTTTCGTCGGGATGTTTCAACTGACGTTCCAGGAACGTATCGGGGGTTAAAAAACTTGGCAATTGTTGAAGTTTGGTTTTCTATGTCACTCACAGGTGGTTACTTCTCTCCACCCACGCCTTTTTTAAGTGATGGAACGCTTACTTTCCACCATTGTATGCAGCCAAAGTTAGTTTCCGAGCGATCGTGCAAACTTAATCATCTCTGAGCTCGTATTATTGAAGAACCACATAATAGAAAAGTACGATTTTGTCATAGTGGAAGGAAAAAGTGTATACGCGAGTCTCATCAACTGATCATCTGTTCCGTGATGTTAGTCCCTATTATCGAAAATCCAATACGTGGAATGCACAGAAATCGTGTATCGATCATGTAGCGCACGAAGCAATAAGCAATTGAGAGTAATTGAATCCTTTTTTCCATTTATGTGAGCACTTGTAGAAATGTT